CGCTAGTCTTGGTGGTCCTGCTCATCGCCGGGGGCCTCTTCATGTTCACCTACAAGTCCACGCAGTTCAACATCGAGGGCTTCGCCTTGGTGCTGGGCGCCTCGTTCATCGGCGGCATTCGCTGGACCCTCACGCAGATGCTCCTGCAGAAGGCGGAACTTGGTGAGCCAGGGCCCAGGCCGCCAGGCAGGGTGGAGGCCGGCCGGGCCGGGCTCGAAGGCTCACTCATGTCACTTGTGCAGGACTCCAGAATCCCATCGACACCATGTTCCACCTGCAGCCACTCATGTTCCTGGGACTCTTCCCTCTCTTTGCCGTGTTTGAAGGTACGTGGGGGCATCTACCTCGGGGGACCTCGGCACAGACCTCTGGTCTCTGCTCAGAGCCCAGCACTGTGGTCGCTGCGGAGGTTCCAGAGATCAGTGATGGTCGTCCCGACCCTGGCAGTGCCTGGGCTGGGGGCTGGACAGACCCTTAAACCAATGGGGCTAGAATTTCGCAGGATAAATGTTACCGAGAAATCACATGTAAAACACACCAGGCAATATTGATGGTGAATGCACACAGCCCTAAGGTATACCAGGGCTGTTCTGATGGTTCTAAACACATTAATTCCTTTAATAGTCCCCCAAAACCCCACGTGCCAGTACTAGGACTGCTTCATCTTGCAGATAAAAGAAACTGCGGCAGAGAGAAGTCAAGATAGCCTTGCCCAAGGTCCCATAGCTCATATACAAGCCAGCCCCTGGCCCTGGCGTCCCTCTCTTAACCACGATGCCCTCTTTCTGTTAGTTTTGAACACAGAGTCATGAGTGATTCCAGAACGGTGGGGCAGAAAGGCAGGTTGAGCTTCCCAGACAGTGCATTTTTGGAGAATGAGTGGGATTTTGACCCCCCTGGTGGGGGCGGGCACCCCTGGAAGTGGGAACAAGAGGTTCAGACGTGGAGAGGTGTGTGGGATTGGCCTTGGCTGTTTCTCAGTCAGGCAGGCAGCGGGGGAGTGAGGAAGGGGTGGGTGGGCATTTCCTTCCCCCCTTTCCCCCTCCCTTCCCAGGGAAGAGTTAGAAGGATGTGTATAGCCTAGGCTAGGCCAGGGCAGGGGGGGTGGGGGAGGGCCACCATGTTCCTCTCCCTGATGCTTTGGAATTGGTCTTCGTCCCCTGTCTGTTTATCCTTCCTCCCAGGGTCCCTTCTGCTCTCAGGGTCATTACAGAGAATTCTGTCCCACATCCATTTAAGTTTCAAGCAGTGAAGCGTCTCAGACCTCTCGGAGAAGATTATTCTGCAGCCCCGTTGTCCAGGAAACTTGTGTTCTGCAACCTCCTTTTTTTTTCTTCCCCTTTTAAAATCTCTCTCCATCCTTTCCTTATGCCCCTCACCAAGCACCACACTCTCCCTCCCTTCCCGGGTGTTTACACCATTTCCCCATCTCTGCAAACCCTCACCCGAGAGCCCCTGGTAGTCATCACTTAGCAAAGCTGCATGGATTTAGCTTCTTTAATCTTTTCTGGTAAATTAATCCCCCAAGCGCCTTCATTACTTATGTTGCTCTTCCCCGAATTCCCTTCAATTTGCCAACGCCTTTGCAGTGCTGCTGAGCCTAGCGCCAAACAAGATGTCCTGCGTCGGAAGGCTCTGTGCCCAGGGGGCTCTGATATTCTGCATCTCCTTGGTGTTTCCCTCCAGAACCCTCACAGGGCTCGGCCAGCCTCCTGCTCCCACGAGTGTCCATTTGCCAAGTCTGGGGCTCACCTTCCCACTGGCTTCTACCCTCCAGGAGCCTTTCCTATTCTCTCGGGTGGGCAGTGCTGGAGGGCCAAGGGTCTTCCAAAAGTCTGGGCACAACTTGGTGTGTCGAGGCCTGTGTGGGTGTCTCTGGAACAAGGGGCCATGGTTTTGTCGTGTCTTTGAACATGTGTTTACTTTTTGAGAACTGTTCAGCAAACTATACTGCCCGGTCTAGTCCCTGTCGTTTTGTCAGTGGGGAAATGGTGGTCCAGAAAAGGGTGCATGTCTCGGCCAAACCCCACAGCTCTGTAGTGAAATGGAGGTTTGTGTGGATGGAGTTTTGTCCCTGGACCCACCTGAAGCAGAGGGCCTCCTCCAGTGGCCCCGGGCACTGACAGTCCTCATGTAGTGGGTGCCCCGTCTCTCTTTGGCCCATGGGGTCTCACAGCTGCCAAAGCCACAGGAAGTCACCCCCCACCCCCCGCCGCCTCCTCCCCAGAGGCAGGTGGTACATGGGGTGTGAAGGAGCAAGGCGCTCCCACCTGATGCCCCTGCGATACCAGCCCCCAGCCTCCAGAGGCTCAGAAGCCTCCATCACTCCCTGTTAGGATCCCCGGCTTGTATCACCCCCGGGCTCCCTGGCCGCCGGCCCTGCTTCCCGTTTCCCCAAGTCCCCGGCCATCTGCGTGGGATTCTCTGACGCCTCCTGTCCCAGAACTAGGGGCCTCAGACAGGCGACAGGTGCAGGGAGGGTGGGGTGCAGCCGTGGCAAATCGCACCCGACGGCTGGGTGGGGTGAGGCCGCCCAGGCAGGCACACCCAGGACGTGGCGCCGCGCTCTCTCCCCCCGTTGCTTCCAGGTCTCCATTTGTCCACATCTGAGAAAATCTTCCGTTTCCAGGACACAGGGCTGCTCCTGCGGGTGCTCGGGAGCCTCTTCCTTGGCGGGATTCTCGCCTTTGGTTTGGGCTTCTCTGAGTTCCTCCTGGTCTCCAGGACCTCCAGCCTCACTCTCTCCATCGCCGGCATTTTTAAGGTACAGTCTTGGAGGCCACCCCAGTCCTGTCTTAGAGGGGAGTTCCTCTCCGACGTGTGTCCTAGGTCCTGCTTCCCAGAGCCCTGCGGGGAAGAGATGGAAGTGCCTGTCTCACCTGGCAGCCCGTCCATCATCACCACGGCCTGGAGTGGGGGTGGGGGCAGGGGCAGTCCTGCTTCACACACGGGGAAACAGACATGAAGAGCTGCCCTCACCCAGGGATATACGGCTAGCAGGTGGCTGAGCTGACTCCACTAGGCCTGGGATATGTTTACATCTTACCAAGAAAGCCAACTCTGGTCATTAGGCAGCAGCCTGGAGTCAGGATTGAGAAGCCCCCAGTCAGACTTATCAGCATAGGGTTCTGTGCTTGGCAGTGATTGATTGACAGTGTCTGCCAGGAGCACAGTGAGGGATGGTTCTATCACGAAGGCCCTGTGGCTGCTGATCCTGCCTTTACCGCTGTCTAGCAGCCCTTAGCCGTCTCCTTGCATCACTTCTCCCCTTCCTCCCCCCATCATCACTCACTGCTTCCTGCTCGGGCCGTGGACAGGCAGACCCTGATCCTGGAGCACTGTTCCCTGAAACCAGCCAGACAGGGCTCCCCCAGGGTCTCGCCCACCCAGTGATGACTTGTGAGCCGTGTTTCTCAGGATGAGTCATCTGATCAGTGCCCTTTGCACCCAGTGCTTATGAAGAACCCCGTGACCAGTGTGACTGCACCCCACCCCCGCCCCAGCAGCAGAGGCGCTCCGAGCACAGGTGCTTCTGGAAGGGCAGCTGTCCTTCCTGCCTGTGGATGTGGCCGCGGACTCGATACCATGTCCCCAGCCTGGATTCGGTCTGCCTCTTCCAGTCCAGACAGAATTCTGTCAAGAGCAGCTCCCCTCTGCCCACAGTAACAGAGCAGGGCAGACCTCAGGCTGGCCCCGAGCTCACGGAGGCTTCCCCCTTTGTGCTGCAGGGAGTTGGGCAGGTCAGGCTCTCCCCTGCGGTGTGACGGTGCCCCCCAGCCCCACCTTCCTTGCCAAGGAGCTCCACACACACACACCCTCCCCGCCCCCCGGCCCTGAGCACGCCCCCTTCCTGCCTCTCTTCCTGTAGGAAGTCTGCACTTTGCTGTTGGCAGCACATCTGCTCGGTGACCAGATCAGCCTCCTGAACTGGCTGGGCTTCGCCCTCTGCCTCTCAGGAATCTCTCTGCACATCGCCCTGAAAGCCCTGCACGCCAGAGGTACCCGGAGCCCCCTTTTGGAGTTCTGTCTTCTGATGACCCTCTCCCCCTGGATTTCCCCTCTACCCATCCCTGCTGGGAGGAGGCAGGTGGCTCTCGACACCCCTCCCCAACTCCCCCGCCAGGGCATTTGCAGTCTGATCTGCTCCGTTCAGCTGCCCCACGCCCTGGCCAGTCCTCTGATTTAGGGAGTTTGCCTGGTGATTCGGCCACCGCCACTCTGAGAAGTCACGGGGGTCATCTCCAGGGAGCGGGTGGGGGCCTGGGTCCCTCGGCAGGCTCTCCCTTCAGGCCGGGGCAGACAGACCCTTGCTGGGTATGTGACGTGGCTGTCTCTGTCCCCAGGCGACGGCGCCCCTAAGCCCCTGAAAGGGCTGGGCTCCAACCCCGACCTGGAGCTGCTGCTCCGGAGCAGCCAGCCAGAGGATGAGGACAACGAGGAGGAGGAATACTTCGTGGCCCAGGGGCAGCAGTGAGCAGCCAGGGGACCAGTCGGCGGCTCGGGGACCTGGGTGGTTCCTCCCGGCCGTCAGGCAGCAGCAGGCCCGGCGTCTCCTGGGCCGGGCCTCGGAGGGCACGTGACCGGTGGTGGGGCCGGGGCAGAAAGCTGGTGCGCTGGGTTGGCACCAGGCCAGCCTCGGGCCTGGCTGGAGCGGGGGCCCAGCGGCACTGGTGTCGCGGCAGGAGCAGGGGGTGGGCTGTCTCAGCCACTTGCTGGGCTCTGAGAGCCAGGATGGTGATTTTAGAGAGAAGACAGGTTTCCGGGGGCCTGGGCTTGAACTGCAGTGCAGTTAGGGACGGGAGTTGAGGACGCTGGGGCCCCCCTCACCTGGAGAGTGTCGTTTCTCTGCAAGCAGACCTATTTATAGCTTGGAAATAAAGGGTTTCCTGTCCACTGGCCACCTTGTGTTGCCTGGAGGTGTGGGGGCGGGAGCCCGGCCTCTCCTCCTCCGCCTCCTTCAGCAGACTCGCCCTTACTCCAGGCCATCTGGGTCTCTCTTCTCCAGTCAGAGCCCCAGGGCCCTCTCTTGGGGCCCTGCTGCATCTGCAGGCAGCAAAGAACAGGTACTGAGTTTCATATTCTGGAGACTCCAGTGTTTTCACAGCCTGATTTAAATATTGACTCATCATTCACTGTGTGACCTTAAGCAAATTACCTAACCTCTCTGAACCGCAGTCTTTCCGTCTGTGGAATGGGGATTATGGTTTTCTCAGAGTTGTTCTGAGGACTGAGTCAATGTTGGTAGCAGATCAAACGTTATTTACGCACATATTCTGAAAGATCTTTGACAACCATGGGGCTAAGACTAAGTAGGCAGGCGTGCTAAAATTCACGGCCAGTGCTGTGTGTCTGCAGACATGTATGGAAGGGTATGGGCCTCTGGGACCTGGGCCTTACGCCCACCTGCCTTGAACAGGTCCCGCCTGCCCACTAGTCTGCCGTCTTCTTTATAAGATAGAGAGGGAGGAGGTGAGATGCGGCCTCTCCTCTGCATGGCTGCCCTCCCTGGGAGCGGGCAGGCAGGTGCTCCTTCGGGCCCCAGTGCGCCCAGCACTCACAGCAGGTGGCGCCACCACACCAGACTTCAGCTCCCCGCCCATCGCCAGGCACGTCCAAACCCAGGCAGAGTCAGGAGGAGGACCCACCCTGGTGCCTCCAGGTAGAGGGACTTGTTAGGAGTTGGTCTAATCAGATCAGAGCCACAACAGCCCCACCCGCCAAGCCCAGGAGAACGTTAATATTTTAGAAACAGGTCGACAGACTTTCTCTGTGAAGGACCAGATAGTAAATGTACTCCGTTCAGGGGCCATATGGTCCCTGTCGCAGCTCCTCAAGTCTGCCTTTGTGGCAGGAAAGCAACCACAGACAGATACAGAAGCAAAAGGGCGGGGCCACGTTCCAGGGAACGCTTCCTGCAAAACCAGGATTCCACCTGCATGCTGCAGTTTGCCAGCCCCTGCTGTAGAAGATGCCTTAAGAACGACGTAAGTCCCACACTCAGTCTTATGACTAGGGAAACTGAGGCCCAGGAGGGGGCAGTGCGTAGCCTGAGGCCCCCAGAGCTTCTGGGCCCAGGAGGAATTAGAATCGAGGTCTCCTGCCGCCAGCTCAGCTTCACAACGCAGACTTCTCCCGCAAATGGAGGTGTGACACCCAGGGCTCCCCTGAGGTGGTGTCTTATCTGGTTCCTGCACCTCCACCCCCCGCCCTCCGATTCTGTAGGCTCAGAAGGTAGGATTAAAGGAAGCTCATGCTCCACACCACTGACGTGGGGAAAGCCAGCAGACAGGAGGGGCCGGGGCCTCCGCCTTTGCCAGAGAACCTGCTTGGGATGCAGGATGCTTGGGCAGTGGGGAGAGGCTGCCAGAGCCCCGCTGGCTCAGGTGGATGAGAGCTTCCTGTCTGCTCCCCGCTCCATCTCCCTCTCCCCGCACAGGGAGCAAGTGCTATCTGGTGCAGTAATTACAGGGTGCAGAGCGGGGGGCCCCACTATCAGCACGTTGGGTTCAGTGGCAGCCCCTCACTTAGCAGCAATTACCAGCCAAGCCTAGAGGAGGGCTCCCCTCTCCTCCTCCCCCTACCGGGCCCACCCAGTCGCCTGGCCTCCCAGGTCAGACAGTGTCCCCCTCAGCTCTGAGCCCTGGGAGCACCCATGCTGTCTGCAGCTATTGCATCTCAGGGCTGCAGTGTCGCCATGGTAACTCCATTGCGCACACAGGTTGAAGGAAGCTGAGGATGTGACTTGTCTCCAAGGCTGTGGTGTCTGTCCCCATGAAGCCTCCAGCTCCAGTGCTTCTGCTGAGGAAGGGGGAGGGGAGGAGGGCTGACCCACAGGTTCGAGTTTTAAGTGCTTACATGCCCACTGCCTCTCCACGGGCCTACAGTGGGAGGAAGGTTAATGCCCCCAATATATGAGCCTGTCTGCAGTTGGGGGCGTGGTAAGGATGAGAACAAGCTGGAGTTTGCCTGTGGGAGAAAGCTGAGATATCAGGCTGGACCGGGAATACCCTCATCTTCCTTCTGGTGCCTTCTCTGCCAGGAGAGCTCAGGGGATCACGTCTTACCCGTTAACACTCCATTCTGCTGAGAAAAACCCAGAAGTTCCAGTGGCTTGACAGTGAGTTCCACGGCACCAAGAGAATTGTCTTTGTGGAACTTGCCACAGCTTGCTGCATCATGGACTAAGACTGAGTGGGGTCCCCTATTTGAAATCCAGAGAGCTGAGAGTGGGGACCCCCAGATCATCTATTGGGGCCGACAGCATTTGGTGAGCACTGGCCACATGCCGGACACTGCTGGACCTGGGACAGAGACGTGTGTCCTTGGAGAGACGGCAGATGGGGCCATCATTTCTCCTGTCCAGGGAAGTGTTGAGGCGCAGTGGCTGAAGGAAACGGGGAGGAGAACACAGTGGACATTCACCAGGCACCTTCTAAGCCTCACATCCGTCATTAAATCGCTAACAACCCCAATACAGTCAAAATTGATTGTACCTATTTTCATTGCTGTGGAAACTGAGCTCATAGACATCGAGCATGATAGTGCCTAAGAAGGCAGCCTCAGGACTCCACCAGACCTGGGTTCACATCCCCCCTTGGCCCTGGGATCAGCTGTGTGTCTCGGGCATGCCGCTGATCCCCTCTGAGCCCATGTCCTTTTCTGTAAAGATGGAATAATAATATATATCTCTTAGCGAGAGATGATGTTTGTGATGATGAAGATGTTGTGAAGATGAACTCGTGTATGTAAAGCAGTTAACACATACGGGGGACACAGTAATAACCATTCAGCAAACGTCAGCCATGGGGATGCGACACATAACTTGCCTGGATGACAAAGCAAGTGAGTGGCAGAGCAAACATTGAGGTCCTGGCCTTTCGAGGTCACTGTCCCTGCTGCTATGCCTGGGACAATGGAGACACTTGACAGATGTTTGTTTCATGAAGGAATTTCCAACAGTGGAAACTGAAGTGAGGTTTTCCCCAGGTTCCGAGGACTAGTCTAGCTTCTAGATAATCTGCTGAACAAGAAAAGTCTGTGCCCTCACCATCACCCATCCCTGCTGGCCTCCCAGCCATCCCCTTGAGCCTCCATCCTAACCACACAGCCTTGACATCAGCCAGGCCCCTTTGACCTTGTTTCATAGTAACCAATTAGCTTGACTTCTGTTCCCATGGTTATGCACAGTTTCGTTGGCAACTAGTACATTTCCCCAGAAACAGGCCCACAAGCCCTAGTCCGGCTGGCATCCTGCCGACGGGTTCATCTTTTTCTCCTGGATATCTGATGAGAACTCTCCTGCTGGGCCAACAGAGGGACAGAACAGAGAAGCAGGAGGAAATGCATTCAAATGCATTCAGTAACTGTTTCTGGAGCTAGTCCCCCCATGCCCTGCCCAGTGAGAGCTGCTGGAGATACACAAGGCGTTATAGATGCTGTTGCTGTCCTCAAGAAACTTCTGCAGGGCTTTTAAATCTAATGGGTTCCCTGGGAAGTATACCCAGAGGTAAAGATTGAAGTCCAAGATGTTATTTAGAGAGGGGGCTTGGAAAAACACCTGCGGAAGGGAGGCAACTGGAGGCAGGTTTCAGCGGAGGAAGAAGTCAAGCTTCAAGGCATGTGTGACAAAGGCCTCAGTCAACCCCGTGGGGAGCTTTGGAGCTGGGATGACCCTGCAGAGCTGTCCCAAGCCAGGGTGAGAGAGGTTCAGGCCTTTGCGCTTCCACACTGCTCTGTTGCTGGAATTGAGTCTACCCTGGAAGGTGGCATAGCCTTGGATGAGGCAGTTTTCTTCCAATCAAGGCAGCCCTCCAAAGAGGGCTGACCATCCCTCCAGCCACACTCCCAGGGGCTCGTGGAGTAAGTCTTTCATTCCCAAAGGGTGACCTGCAGCCTATCACAGCATCCACCACATGTCTGGCCCAAGGTCACTCACCTCCCTCGACCCCAAGCACGGCCAGGAGCCCTCGTGGCGGGGCTCACACCTCGCAGTGCCCGCCTTCCGCTTGTCTGCTCTGCCGATGACCAGGGATTCCTAAAGAGGAAAGCAACATCTGACATGTTCCTTCATTTTCTTGGGGGAGGGTTTCTTACCTCTCCCCACCCTCCCCGCAAAGATTAAGAACCACTAGTCCAAGGAAAGCCAGACTTATCCAAAACTTCAAAACATCATCAGAGATGCTCACTATTAGTGCTCAGTGAATACGAGTGGATGGATGATGGATGGGTAGATGCCATAACAAGATGGTGCGGAAGGTAGAGAAAAAGGAGCGACCAATTCTGCCTGGGGCAGGAGGAGAGCAAAGATCCCCAGGAGCAGCTGTCCCTTTTGAAGTGAGCCTTGAAGACCTGATAGGAGTTGCCAAGCAGACGAAAGGAGACAGGCTGGGGGGAGAGCAGACACAGGCCCAGGTGTGAGCGAACGGGGGATGGTGCGTTTCACCACCACGGGAATTAGCTCTCTGTGGGAGGTCACAGGTGCACACGGGTAAGGGGGGGGTCTTCTCCTTTGAAAAGCCCCCAGGTTCCAAGGAGGTGTCTTGATAGGAATTGCTCAGGTTGTTCTTCAACAGCCAAGTATCTCTTCTCCTCCATGCTGCCAACACTTTATCTCCAGGTGGGAGGGTAGGGGAGGTCCTAAAGATAACCCCACCCAAGCGAAGGGCATCTGGTCATTTACCCCATCTTTTCCCATCTTTTTTCGCCTCTGCAGTCCATGCCTGGGAGGTCAGTGTTACCAGTTGCCCCACTTTGCAGAGGAGAAACAGGCTCCCGGGACCAGGTTACTCGCCCAAGATCACTCCCCTCCCTCGCCCCCAAGCGAAGCCAGGAGCCCTCACGGCAGGGCTTTCCACACATCTCTGCTCTGCAGCTCTCTACTAGGATGCCAGGAGTCTTGCCAGCCTCCTGGGATTCCGCCCTTCTGGTTAGCGACAGGAAGGATTGCCCGCCGCAGGGGGACCAATGGCCTGGGGGCAGCCGCATTCTGCTGTCCATGTTTTGCTCTGGGAGGAATCCCCCACTGAGCCAAAGCCTCCGTCCTGTTCCAGGGCTGCCCCATGAATTAAACATGCCCCCGTGGTTAACTCAGTAATGCTTTTATTAATAGTTAATTACTCAATGCGCACTGGGGAAATGAGGCTCACTCCGGCCTCTTAAATTAAGGCAGTGATCTCGTGAAAGAAGCCAATGGGTGTTCATTACCCCCTCTGTCGCCGCACCCCCTGGCTGGCCATTTAGCAGCGCTAAACGACGGGGGCGGGCGAGGTGCGGGGGGACCTTCTCCGGGTGGAGGTGGGAAGCAGCGGATGAACTCACCCCGGTTCCCTCGGTGGAAGGGCCTGGGCTGGGTGTGGCGAGACCTGTCGATGTAACGCGCTGGCGCCTGTCATCGGCCTGTGTTCCTTGTCGCTGCGAGGGACTCGGCGAGGGCCCCCAGGGACTCCGGCCCGGGGCAGGGCCCCCTGTCCCAGGCCGGGAGAAGCAGGTCTCCGGCATCCGCCTGAGAGCCGCCGACTCCCTCCCCCACGCAGTCTTTCTCATTTCAGCCGTGTCAGGCTTCCCCGGCTGGGTTTTTGTTGTGGCTGAAGCCAATTTCCCCCCCTGATTTTGCGGCTGAGCTGGAGAAGGGGCTCGTGCTAACCTGGTTTCGCTTTTCTAAATTTAACTTTCTCACATGCTTTGTTACCCCAGAGACAGAAGCCCCTCTGTTTATCTTCCTGGAAAATGATAGCCAGCCTCTGCTTTGAACCTACTGCGTGCCAGGAGGGGCCCCGCCCGCCCTGGTTTCTGTCGGATTCGTTCTCAGGTTCAGCAGTGCCTTGGGGTCAGTGACTGTGCTTCCCTGGGTCTCCATTTCTTCATGTGAAAATGGAGATCATAACACTGCCTGCGCCTGGAGTTACCCTGATGATTAAATGAAGTAATAGATGTAAAATACTTTGAATACTGCTGAATATATAGTAAGTTCTCTCTAAGGGGCAGCTATTATTATTATCTCTACAACTGCGCTGCCATTTTACAGATGAGCAAAGTGAGGTTTTAAATCTTTGTTTTGATCTGTTTGAGGATGCTGGACCCAGAACTTCAAGTGGCCAACACTCATCACTTCCCTTCTGTGGAGGCCAAGCTGGGTGTCAGTCTCTCCTCCAGAAAGGCACACTGGCCAAGTCCCAGCAGCCAGGAAAGATGTGTCCCTGCCTGTGACGCAGAGCCCTGCCAAGGCGGTCTGGGCTGAGACACAGGAGCACAGACGCTGTTGCTGCGCCAGCTTGGGTTCAAATCCTGGCACACCCACTGGCTGTCACGTCCATCCCTGCAGCCCCAGCTTTCACTTTGGGCAAAATGGGATCCTGGTATCACCTACCTCCTTGCACGGTCATAAGGATTTCTGCTTAAAAGTGCCTGATGCCCCGTAGCCTTCTCCGAGAGCTGCCTGCACCTTGGGCTCACAAAAAAACCTCCCTCCCGAGGTCGTTGGAGGCCCTCATGGAGATGATGGCATCCAACTGCCTTCAAGGAAACTGTGCAAGAGGCAAGCTACTGGTGTTCTCTGCTCAAAGGCAGAGAGTTTTGGAGAGCCTCCGAGGTAAAACAGGCTTCCCAGGTAGCTAGGTGGTAAAGAATCCACCTGCCATTGCAGGAGACACAGGAGATGCAGGCTTGATCCCTGGATCAGGAAGATCCCCTGGGAGAGGAAATTGCAACCCACTCCAGTAGGCTTGCCTGAAAAATTCCACGGACAGAGGAACCTGGTGGGCTACAGTCCAGGAGGTCACAAAGAGTCGGGCACTGCTGAGGCCCGAGCATGCATGCTGAGGTTAAACACTCGAGGTTAAAACCCCACAGATGCCTGGCCTGATGAGGATTCTCCTGGGACTAGTGACACAGAGGGTTGGGAACAGGTGGCCTTCTGAAACCCACTCAGGCCACGAATTGCCTTGCAGGCGAAGGTCAGCCTCTCTTCTGTGAGCCCGCCTCCAAACTGCCAGAGCCACACACACAGGCAAGGAGTCCGGGCAGGAGCTTGACGAGTGCGGCTCCAGGTTCATCTATAATACGTGGTGTCAGATTTAAATGTCACTGCTGCAGGCAGCTGACCCAGGTCCCCAAACAATGGGCCATGAGGGCCGCCTTCGCCGCCTCTTCATCTTCCTGGCGGTGGCTGACCAAAGGGAGGGAGATTTGGTTTCTTAAAAAACTAAACAGTTGTTGAGCACTCTGGCGTTGCCTGGGCAACAGCCGAGGGGGAGAGAGAAGCATCTTATTGTTTAAAGTTATTCTTGCTCGATTTCAAAGAGTTGTTCTGAAAAGACCGGAATCCTCCAAGCAGCCAGGTTGGTCCTCTCTCTCTCTTTCTTCCTCTCTCGCCCCTGGCCCGGCCGGCCATGCAATCCTGGCTCCTATTCTCCGTCAGCCCCCAGCCCTGTCTTCCCAACTGGGGGCTGTGGGAGGGGTCCTGGCCATGCTGGACATCAGGGCCCGGGAGACAATTCCCTCCTGTCCCCCGTGTGTTCACCCCCCGGCCCAGGGGCGTCGTGTGGAATAAACACACAAATACCAGGCCAGCAAGGAGGATCCCTGCCCCTCAACTCCACGGGCTGCTTTTCCAGCCACCCGACCTGCGATACGGACATGAGTTTGACTCTGTGACTCAGGAGTCAGCTCACAGAGGTGCCTGAACTTGGTGGGGTGGGGGCGGGAGAAGTCCCGGCCATATAACCCAGAGGTGGGCATCTCAGTTCTCAGGCTCAGCCTGGGCAAGACCAAGGTGACTCTTGTGCCAGGTCATTGCTCAGGAGCCAGGGCTGAGTGTAGCCCCATGCCCCTCTACCCTTTGAGTGACACTGGTTTGGAATTGTTTACGCGTCTCTCTTCACCATGAGACTGTCAACTCCCTGACAGCATAGCCGCATCTATTCATCTCTGTGAATTCTTGTAAGCTGCCTCAAATCCTTTCAGGAGCAAGGCAAATTCTGACAATTTAGATGAGACAAACACATATTTTTAATTAAAACTGTTTAGATAGTGAATACATACATACAATGCAAAATTCAAAGTTCAAAAGGAATGAATACCCATGTCTCCTGCTGCCCTGTCTCCCTCTATGGCGACAGCCATGGTTTTCTTCTGATGTTTCCTTCCAGAGAGATCCTACTCATATAGAGGCAAATGGGCATCACATAAAATATATTAGTCACATCTCTAGCTCCTGTGTCTAGCACAAGACCCAGAATACATAGATGCTTGATAAAAGTATGTCAGATAGCTGGACATACAAATGGATGGATGGATGGAGGGAGGGAGGGTTGGGTATTGCATGTATGGATGGATGGTTGGTGGATGGATGGATGGGTGGGTGGGTGGATAGATGGATGGACTGATGGATGACTGGATGGATAGAGGGATAGACTGATGGATAATTGGATGGATGGGTGGGTGGGTGGATAGATGGGTGGGTGGATAGATGGATGAATGGATGGATGGATAGTTGGATGGGTGGGTGTAGCTCTTGTACTGTTAGTTCCCTTTTCCCCCAGATATCTGAGTTCCCTGACCAGGAGTTCCTTGAGAGAAACATGGAGACCCAGCATCAGACCCATTGGCCTGTGTTCAGATGGAGACATTTAATAGGTAGTTGGATTGTGGCTGTATCAGTTGGCGTCTTATTTGACTGCTAATAACAGAGATCTAACTACAATGGCTTGAGTCCATGAAGGTTTTCTTTTTCTTTGACGAGTTTGGTAGGGGTTCAGCCCTCAATGATACCAGAGTTTGACGAGTTTGATAGAGCCCTCAATGATACCAGAGTTGGGAAAAATGAACAGGGAGGAGGCACTTTCCTCTTATCACTCTCCACTGCAGGACTTCACCCATTTGGGACCACAGACCTCTGGGCCTCTGGTGAAGCCTATGGACTCCTTCCCAGAATAGTCTTTTTAAATACATAAAAGATACATAGAATTATGAAAGAAGCCAATTATACTGAAATAGGGAGGTGCTCGTGGTAAAGAACCCACCTGCAAATGCAGGAGACATAAGAGATGCAGGTTCAAACCCTCAGTTGGAGAGATCCCCTGGAGGAGGGCATGGCAAACTCCAGTATTCTTGCCTGGAGAATCCCATGGGCAGAGGAACCTGGTGAGCTACAGTCCAGAGGGTCGCAGAGTCAAACACAACTGAAGCGACGTAGCAAACTGAAATAGAGTTTTCAAAATATTTACAAATGTGTGATATAGCCCTATAGGTGCTTCTCTATTAACGCACTAGATAACAAGATCTAGTGACACCTCTATTAACTCCCACAATTTTGAAGTGCCGATGAGTGTCAATGATATTTTAAAATGTCTGCAACCGCTGTAATGTGATAGGATATATCTGATTTCTGCTGGTGACAAAGTCACAGCATTGC